AAGAAAATGACGTAGTTTAATAAATAATTCTTAAAGTGCTTTTGGACACAAAAAGTCTTTGAATCTATGGCACACATCTTTTTTTAAGGAAAAAAAAATACTGTAGTCCATTGTGAATGTTACAAGAATAATTAGTATGGAATTTTTAGGTTTTTTTCACTCATTTTTCGCAGGTATATTACACTTTGTTAGAGCAGTCTCATGTGCAGAATAATAGTTCACAATGATGATGCCCTCTAAAATTATGTTTAATAATTATTTAAGTTACCTGAAAAAACTTAGGGGCAAAAACCCAACTAAAGATCCTCTTTCAAAATAGGCATATATTTTTGAGAAATTAAATTGGTTTTATTGGCTCATCTCAAGAATTGAGAAGTTAGGTCATGTTATGTGTTTATTTTCATTTCTTTTTCCATTTATTCCTATATTTTAAAAGTCACAATTCCACAAACTTCCAGTTACTACTCTGTTCTTACTTGTTTTCACATTGTTTAGCATGAAAATGAATACAGCTTCCCACTCCAAGAAAGGTAATGGAAAAATAACATTTTATAGCTTTAATTTCCTTTTAAATATGTCAGTGTAGCTTTGACACATAAAAGGACAGTTCCTAATGGTTATACTTGCATAATTATTGTCAATATATATGACAGCAGATATCATTTTTAATTGGAGAAAATGACAGTTAAGGTTCAATGCATACACTCATTCTTTAATCTAAAAAATTTTGGAATGGATATAAGTTGTACATATTAGCATTATTAAAGAGTAGTTCTAAAATCTAAGAAAACTTTTTTAAAGGCTCTATATAAAATCAATTTTTTGAAGCAGTTCCTAAACATTGAAGATTAACTATAATCTCATTTAAACAAATAAAATGAATTACATGAAATGCAGTTGAGCTTGTCATTGTTTTTCTGTTTGTTTTTTACATTTCCCCTGGTATCTACAACCAGCAAAACTGGCAAACACTTATGTTTGCTGCTATGACAAAGCTGCTCTAAAGGATCTTATGAATTTGGAATTCCAAACCATTTTAGATGTTTTAGCATGCATGTCATCTCATCGATCACAGGGATACATCTTTTGCCCAACTTTTAATGATTCCACAGCGTTTAATATGAATGTTTTCATTGCTGATGCTGATTTCCTTTTTTTTTGGTTGTAGATATCTTTATTTCTAAGATCTAAATTTTCTTCTACTAATTCATAAACCAAAATTAACATTTCGTTGAAGGGTAATTTATCATATATTCACCAAAAATAATTTAAGAAGCATTAGTAAAATGATTTCAGTATAATAAAACTTTTCTTTACCATGACTCATTAGGCCACATAATGTAACTTTCTCTCTTCATTGACTTCTTACTTGTAAAACTTCATAACAGTTTTAAAAGGTTTGCACTGATTTCCTTGTATTTCTGTATTTTACTTGAAGACCCAGATGATCTGTGCATTAACATTTTGCTCCATAATGCGGTTGTTAAAAACTCAAGGTAATAGGAAAGTACTATTACAATGATTTTTTCTTTAACCCTCAAAGCCTTTCCTTGTCTATAAACCTACAAGGCGAGCAGTTTTCAGTTTGTTGCCATGCTTAAAGGAAAAGCCTTTCCTCCCCCATTGAAACTTTCAGATTGGCCACAGCAGGTACCTTGGCTGATCTCACTGTTTCTGATATAAACAGAAAAGACACAATACCTGAAATGTATTCTAAGAACTTGGTTCTGTTTTTCAGATAATCATGCAAAGGCTAACTGCAGCGTAGACAGATACTTTCTATAATAAGCATATTAAGAATAATAAGCTTTTGATATACAAGACACTGATGTAATGTTTTTTAACTCATTTAAGCCTCTTAACAATTCAATGAGGTAAGTACAATTATTAATATCATTTTACAAATGAGAAAACTCAAAGATAGAAAAGTTACATAATTCAGATATTAGTTGGAGGAGATGAAATTTGATCCTAAGTCGGATTAGAAGTGACTGGCTGCCCTTATCCTATAATGACATACAGCAACTACATGGCTATAAAATTCTAATAGCATCAATGGAGTTGTTGGGGTAGATCATTGGTTTTGTGGGGTGCCTTTGAGCATCCCACATATCCAGGTTCTGATTTCCCTATATCAATGGCTACTAACCACATGTAGCTATAAGTTTCAAATGTAAGTAGCTAAGATGGGGATTTCAACTACTAAGGGTTAGAATATTCATAATCTAACCACTTACTATCATATCTGAAATTGCATCTTCTTTTGCTTTTGTTTTTTGTTGTTTTGTTTGTTTTTTGAAGCCAAATAGGGCGAATAGGCTGGCTGTAAGTGTTGAGAAAGATTAGGTTGTGAAGGTTGTGAAAGCCTGGCTAGAAACCACACAACTCATGATCAGGAAGATCCTGACCTTACTGACTCTGTTCACCCTCCTCCAGATGGCCCAGCTTGAAATGGTCACTCCACCCTTGTTTTGACCCTGCCTCACCCCCAGCTTTCATAAATCAGAGATACCATTCTCTGAATTTCTATAGCTTTTTGGATGTCATAGAATGTGATCTCCTTTTTATGTTAGTTATTTCTGTGTGATATTATCCTATAACAATAAGATGCAGGAGAATATAAGCCATGTGTCATACAGCTCTGAAGTGTCACCAACATTCATGAAGTTTCAGCAATAGCACCTTATATATAACAGTCATTTAATGAATGAGTGAAAAATTAAGTGGTGTTACATAAATAAAGAGAAGCAAAGCTTTTAATTCAGATAGACTAGTTTTTAAGTCTTACCAGCTCTGCGACAGTGGGCAAATTAATCTTTCAGACTTAGTTTTCTCTTATATAAAATGTAAAGTTTTCTCCTATGCAAAGATTAATAATCTCCATACTAAGTCATGGCAAACATTAAATGAGATCGTGTAAAAGCACACCAGCATAGTGCCTTGTATATACTGAGGATAAATGCAATGTAACTATTTTGTTAATTACCTTGGAAAGGTTATTATGCATTAATTCATTAAATACATATATACTGAACACCTACTACGAGACAGGCACTTTGGTAAGTCCTGTGAAAAACTAAGAAGATAAATTAATAATTTCTAACATTTATTAATTATTTTATTCCAGATATTCTTTTAATACTTATCTAACACTTTTATGTTTATAGTCTGTATTTTTTTCTGTTGTGCTAAGGTGCTTCCTGGACATGGATTTGGTTTTCAAGGGGCATGTGTTCTACAAAAGATACAGAAAAATTTCAAAAATAACTACTAAATGATCAGTTTAAAAAGTGCCACAAAGGAGAAAATTCTTCAAATAGTTTTAAACACTAGTTAGTACACACATACATTATCGCTCAGGAGGCCATGCTGGAATGGACAAAGCCAACCTGCTCTTCCATATGTTGCTGACCCCAGTCAGAGAAGATGTTTGTGTGCTCTCTACTTCATGTGTGACGACTTACAGATGCCAGACACCTGCGAATTAGCACAGGCAACTTTTTCATGGGGACAAGCAGATCTCCACTGTCACATTAAGCCACAGAGTTAAAGTTAAAGGTAGTTCTAATTACAATCTTTCAATCCTATATAAACCACTCTTTCAAAGTGAGACATTTCAATTATATATAAAAATAAATAATCTGTGGTAGTATCACTTAAAGGATAAAATACCACTGCGATCAATAATATTATAAAAAAACAGAGCATGAACTTCAAGATGATGGTTTTCTAGATTATTTTTTCCTATATAGTTTTTGTACAGTTCCTCAATAGCTAATAAAGAATGTCTGTGGAAGAGATGGATAATACTAACTCAATGTTTCTCCAGTTAACTAAACTTTTCATGCTAAATCATGGCAATCAAATCCTCATGTTAACTTCACAGAGAAATTCATAAGCATTGCAGTGATGTTAAGTATATTAGTTTTACAGATAAAATATTTTAAAGCTTTTTTTTTTCTGTAAAGTCAGCAAAAAAACATAGTTGCTTCATTCTACAAATTCTCTGTTGCGTAACAGCTCTGGGAGAACTTCTAGATGGCCTTCTGAAGGCTTCTTCCTGCTGACTCAGACTCAGACAAGCACTCTAGAGGTTCCCTATTAAACACCATCGACTTTCTGTTCAATAAAATTTTAAAACCTTTTTTCTGAAATAACTCCTTATACTTAATTGCATTATTTTCCAGCATATAGTTTACTAACCCATAAACTCTTAAATTCTCCTATAAAAATAATTTTATCATGTTCTGTTTTCCCCACACTGTCTCCAAAGGTGAGTTGCTTAAGTCTGACCCACTCTCATATTCCCAAACCCAAATCTCTCATTCACTTCCATCTCTTCCAAATTTAAACACAGATTTGATGCTAGCTAACCCCAAAGTAATACCTTTCTTCAAAGACCATTTGGTTTATTGCATTCATTCCTCGCTTCCCAACAACAATTAATCGAATCTTTGAACACATGGAGTATAGATTGTTTCTACTTATTAAAATGCAGCAACTGAATAAAATCTTCACACAAAAAATGCACTTTATTTTTGGTTTCCTTAATGGTTTAAGTTTTGTTTGTTCCTTTGTTGGATGATAATTACATTCATTAAAATTGCAGCTCATTTCTTTCATATCCAAGTTAGTTTTTATATTTGTCTGTGTGATACATTAAAATGTTTTTAAAGGACACTAATTTGTTGGTTACTTTATTTCCCACAGGCCATGATACTGCAAATAATTTTAACAACCAAAATCATTTGAAGATAACCACATGCATGCCTTAAACAGAAATCATAAAGGATACTTAAAAAAAAAATCACTTATTTGGAAACAAAAATAACTTCCCATAGTATATACTACAAAATTATTTAAATTATTTTATTTATGCAAATTTTTTTCAGGAATCATCTACCAGGAAATGTCAATGCATAAACAAACTTTCTACGATCAACTATAAATTAGTAATAATATTATGAATATATAACAAATGAAATTCAATAATATCATACCTTTGCATTATAGGGAATATAATGTTTTGATAAAGCTTCAGGCGTATGCATCCATGTTTTGTCTGCAATGAAGAATACACAGTGTTAACTTAAATTACAGGTTCTGAGGGTGTCATATTCATGTATTAGCATTTGTAAGGATTCTGATATGAATGAGAGCATTTCCAATTCTGAGATCCTCTTGCTAAATTCAGAAAGAATAATTAGTCATATATAAGAACAATGTAGCTGGAAAGCGATTATACAATTATTTCCTTGATCTAAAAGTTCCTGCTTTTCTTTTTAAATGTTTTCAAGTAATACAAATGTTACTGGGTTTTAAAAGAATACATAAAACTAACAGCATCAGTGGGTTAATTATATCAAATTATATCAATTATTAATTATATCAATTATTAATTAGTAATTATATCAATTCTGTGATTAATTTTCTGATAACTTTCTCTTTTTACTCTTAAAATTACAGGTTATTTTTCTTAATTCTCTAATAAATAAAAAGTAACTTTCTCTTTACTCATTATTTTTAGCAAAGAATTAACAGCTTAGTAAAGGGAAATTTTAATATTAAACTAATAACTGCATTTATATAAAACTGAAATAAGTCAATCTACTAAGTTCATGTAGAAATCAACATATTAGAGTAATTTTTTATCTAAACTTAGAAAAACATTAATTTCAGGTCTACTATCAGCAATTTTTGATATAAATAATCTTAATTCAAAATGTTCCTTAGATTAGAGTAATAGAATATTAAAAATAAAAGTAACTAAAAGGCTAGAAGACATTGAAACTAATTTGTATTGTATATTATTGATAGAAACATAAAATATACTTTTCATTCAATTTTTGAACTTTATTTATATATTCCACATATCATCCCAAATATTTTGTGGAATGCATAAGTGAGAAGAAAAAATATATATATTAATATTAATGTTTAGTCAAACCAAATTTGGCTTTTTATTAAACTGCATTGTTTTTTGTAGTAAAACTTCTCAATATTCAAATACGTTATCCCTTCAACTTAGTTTTGTATTTTATTCCTCATGGAAATTTAAAAATTTAGAATCAATATTGTAAATAGAATAAAATCAAGACATATTTTGCCATGAAAAATATTAACTACGTGCATACTGAAAGGAAATTTTGAAATAGTAACAGTATTTTCAGAACATTTGAAAATGGCGTTGATAGGACCCAGCCTGACAGCATTAATGTGTTCTTCTCAAGCTGGGGCAATATGAAGACAAAGGGAAAAAGACATCTATTTCTAGAATGCCTATTTTATACCATTTGAAGGATAATGCACTGTATTTATATTAAACATGTTTCTGGAGTACAGTCCAATATTCACAAGAATTTTTAAGACAAAACATGAGGGATCAATTAAATCCCATGCTTTTGGTGCATTTCAGGGCTATTTCTGACTGCCGAAGTGGACACATAATAGCTGTAATTGGGGGAAACATTTTGAGAAGCAATACATGCCAAGCTTCAAAAAGCAGTATTGACATATTGACATTGATGTGGGAAACTAATTTTTTTATTAGTTTTCTTTTTATGATTGCTACTGGAGAGGGCATGATTAATGCAAGGATAATTTGTACTTAGATTTGGGATATAGCCTTTCCCTCACATATGAAAAGAAATAAAGTATTACACATTAAAACACGAAAATAGTAACAACACNAGATTTGGGATATAGCCTTTCCCTCACATATGAAAAGAAATAAAGTATTACACATTAAAACACGAAAATAATAACAACACCGGAGACCTGCACTTAGGAAACCTAAAGAGATAACCGATTTCTTTCTTTAATCCTTCAACGCAGTTCTTCTCATGCCTCCTTTCTAAGACATAGAGCGCCGCTCAGGAGGATGCGAGGCCTGCCAGGCGTCGGAATACGATGGCCCATTCCGATCCTGAGGCAGACAGAACTTTCCCCAGGAAGCCACTATTTTTTGAAGACTGATGGTATTACCTTTGTTACAGTCCCATATTTCAGGGACCTAGAAAGAGGGCAGGTATATCTAGCTGTTACTAGTGACAGACTAAAAGAATTACAATATTAAATTACTAGTGCACAAGCTACAGTTGCTAGAACGACAAAAAATGTATTATCCACACATCAAGTGCTGATAGTTCAGTGGCCGTTCATTGCTTACTTCTGGTATACGTAGTACACTCATAAAACCTGAAGTGTTTCCAAAAACAAGTCCTTACTGTCATGCTAATTTATATTTTGGCAAAAGAAAAAAACTAGCAGTATAAAACCCTTTATATTAACTTATACACATGAGGTTGACCTTGAAGAGACAGTACATATAGATGATGGTCCTTGGTCACTGTATGTGCCCACAGGAGCAATCAGATGCATGTAACTGGTATAGAAAGGGGAACACAGACATTCTAGAATGTCTATGAAATTAAACTATAATCCTTGAAATTAAACTATAATCACTGACTCAATAGTGAACAGTCACATAAAACGAAATGCCAACATTTCAAAATATTTAACAAGTGTCAAACCACTCTCACTGCTGGGTCAATAAATGTAGGCATTCAAAATGCATTTAGATTAAGACCTCATCAAGAAAGATGCAGTAACTTCACTATTCTTGTATCACAGAGCTTAATACCTTGAATATATTAAATTTAAAACTAAATGTTGTTGAATAAGTGGATGCATATGAATGGATCATAAAAAGGGAAATGATATTTAAATATTGAATCCTAAGTGCTATATACTATGATTATATCTACCCATCAGCTTGTTAACTGCCAAGTTAGAGTAAATAAATTATAATTAATTAAATTATTTAATCACATTTATTCACATGCTATGTTTATGCTTGTTTACTAAATTATTCATTTTTATGTAATAAATAAAGTTTGTATTTTAAAAATTCAGATAGAAAGCTAATGTAAGGAAAGGAGTTATAAAACAAATACATTCATTAAAAATTAATTAATGACTGTGAAGTTAAGACTAATTTTTACAGAATTATTAAAAATTGTGCAAAATGATGCAATTCTAATACAATCAGTCTTTTTCAGAATCTATGAGCAGCTCTAATACCATTAGAGCATTTGAAAAGAAATCAGTGAAGAATCTAGCTAATTCAATCAAAGAACAGCAGGCAAATTACTAATCGGGTAGTTTAATAAAAAGAGGAAAAACTATTATGTCCAGGTTTAAGATAATGATCTTTCCTCCTTAGGCTTCTGAGCAGCACAAGATGACTTAGTAAGGTTCCACGTGATAAGTAAGAGAATTAGACACCTACGAAATAAGCGATAAGCTTTTGCTGACAGAAGGCCATCCTGCTGAGTTTAGAGTATAGTACACACTGTATGCTGATGCTAGTTCTTGGAAAGATGAAGTAAATTGTATTCTCTAGGGCTATAATTAAACTCCCGATTGTCAGGATATATGGATTCTCTCATATAATTCAAGTTTTCCAACTAAATTAAAATTAACTCAGCCCTAGCTGGTTTTGCTCAGTGGTTAGAGCATCAGCCCACGGACCGAAGGGTCCACAGTTCGGTTCCAGCCAAGGACACGAACCTCGGTTGCAGGCTCGATCCCCGGCCCCAGTTGGGGCGGTGCATGGGAGGCAGCCAATCGGTGGGTCTCCCTCACATCAATGCTTCTCTCTCCCTCCCTTTCACTCTTTCTGAAAAGCAATGGAAAAAAATACCCTTGGGTGAGGATTTAAAAAAAAAAAATTCAATCAAATAGTAGCATTGGTTGAAACTGGGAGCAGAGACTCTAAGAGTTTTTCCTTTAACAACCTCACCAAATGAGCGATTCAGAAGTGATTGGTGAATTTAAGGTAGAACTTCCAGCATCAAGTTCTATTTGGAATAGAGTAAAATGTTGATCGATAATTTCCTAATAAGTATATTTAACCATTAGACCTGAAAAATAAGAGAAATCCAAAGAAATGTAAAGAGAATGAAACAAAGTAGGAAATAAGAAGTATTTCTGCTTCAAATTACGTTAATTTTCCTCATGGTTATATTCCCACTGTCTTTAAATGAGACAAAGTATACAATTGCTAGTTACTCATATTTCTTTCTATACAACTGTTGGGATTTCTCAATGAAAAAGCCCTCTAAATTATCTTCAAATAAAGAGTAAGTTAAAATGCCGAGTTTCAACTTAAAAACCATGGGAAAGGGAATTACAAGCAAATGAAAAGATAAGGTCCAGGAGGATTTTTCTTAAAAAGCGTGGTGCTGGCTGCTTTTGGACTGCTGGTGGGAATGCAGACTGGTACAGCCACTTCGGAAAACAGTATGGAGGTTCCTCAAAAAATTAAAAATGGAGCTGCCTTTTGACCCAGTGATCCCACTTCTATGAATATACCCTAAGAATCCTGAAACACTAATCAGAAAGAATATCTGCACCCCTATGTTCATAGCAGCACAGTTTACAATAGCTAAGATCTGGAAACAGCCCAAGTGCCCATCAGTAGATGAGTGGATGAAAAGCTGTGGGACATTCACACCATGGAACACTATGCAGCTGTAAAGAAGAAGGATCTATTACCCTTTGGGACAGCATGGAAGGACTTGGAGAGTATTATGCTAAGTGAAATAAGCCAGGCAGAGAAAGGCAAACATCACATGATCTCGTTTATATGTGGAATCTAAAGAATATAATAAACTGACAAACAAAATAGATTCAGTGACAGAGAAGCATGGAACAGACTGCCGAGTCTCAGAGGGAAGGTGGGGGGGGTGAGTGGGTGGCTGGGGAGAGAGTAACCAAAGAATCTCTATGCTTATATGCACAACCCAAGGACACCGGCAACAGTGTGGTGAGGGCCTGGGGCGGGGAGTGGGTGTAGGGTGGAAGGGGTCAATGGAGAAAAAGGGACATCTGTAATATTTTCAACAATAAAGATAAATTAAAAAAAATTAAGATAGTGTGAGTAAAGTAATGAGTTGAGATGTAAGGTTTTTATTACTCTATTAGAAATACTTCATATAATTATTTCTAGATTTTGTTTACTAGTAAAGGAAATAAAAAAGAAACATTATTTTGGTATATGTTTTAAATCAGAAGCAAGCTACTGACCACAAAAAATGTCACTTTGCTTTCCCTTTATTCGGAAAAAAATAAGTAATAAATTCCTCGCTTCCCAGGGTTGAAAAGTACCTGAAAGTTCATATTACCTAAATCCCTACAGGATACATTAGCCCTCTGTACCACATCCAAATGAACACCTCTTGCTTCAGTAACAAAAAAGTTAGTACTTTGAATAATTCCCTTATGTTTCTGCACAACTTTGTTGAAATTTTTTTCTGTATTAAATCAATGACCACATAATTTATGCCTATTTGCTCTTTTTTTGAAATTTTATTTTATTTTTTTTACCAACCCATTATTTTTTATTTTTGTTTAAAATATAACAAATGTCCCTTTATCTCCCCAATGACCCACTCCACCCCATCCCTCCCCCTTCCCAAGTCCCTCTCCCCACCATTGTCCATGTCCTTGGGTTGTGTATATATGCATATAAATTCTTTGGTTACTCTCTCCCCCTATTTGCTCTTTATTAAACTTAGTCTCATGACCAAACGACAGCCTTTCTAACACTGAAAGACAATTCCCATTACTACACCAAGGGTTCTCAGCCATGCTTCCCTGCTAAAAGTCCTCAAGTCATCCCAGCCTTTCTCATCAGGGCATGTTACATGTGTTAGTTAATCCTTTAAAGAGAAAACACATTGTTCCTGACTGCACAGAACAGAATGATCTATTCCCAGGTTCTGAACTGTTCATTATTCATACATTAGAAAATTAACTGAAACTTCGATAATGACACTGTTGACTTTATTCTTCGGCTATTTTTTACCCACAAGGATACATTATTTTACCCTCACTGAATTAGATAAAACTATCAAATTTTCTGTCTTTCATATGAATGTATCATATTTTGTAAAAGGCCATGTTTTCCTCTCCCTTAAAAAATAAATGAAAACTGTTTCTTTCATTCCTATACTGATAATTATATTACATTTATACTTATTTTCAATTCCTGCCTTAAAATTAATAACAAACTTATCTTGGCCTTACTGCTATCAATTCACCTATCATCAGTCTTCACATATTCAATAAAAAGTAAAGCAGCCCAGGCCAGGTGGCTCAGTTGGTTGGAGAGTTGCCTCGTACACCAAGGAGGTTGAGGGTTTGATCTCTGGTCAAGGTGGGTATGGGAGGTGGCCAATCAATGTATCTCTCTTGCGTCAATGTTTCTTTCTCTTTCTCTCTCTAAACATATCCTCAGGGGTGGATTAAAAAAAGAAATATAAGTAAATCATACACACACACACACACACACACACGAGTGAATTTAAATCAAGGTAACCTTATGTAAACCCAAAGAATTTATATGGCTACATGAGATGAAGTCAGCACTAGTTTCAGATCACTTTACTTTTTGCAATTTCACACCACAGAATAAAACCGTTAGAGAACATACTATCACAAAGGTATTCTGAACCAAATGTATTAAATAACTCTACTCTTTGAATAAGCTAATAACCAAAAAGGGTTAACTGGCGATGTTTGCAAATCTGTGTGCTCTATTCTAACTTCATTCTTGAACCACATGGTTTGGTAATAGGAAAAACTGATTGCTTAACATCTCTGCTAGACTTTCATAGTAATTAATATTGAATTGACCCCAAGGCCATTAAATGGGCACACTTACCTTTCTTTCTGCTAAAAGCACGGTTCATGATGAGGATCAGCCAAATAGATGTTCGATTCAATCACACTTTATAGCCTATAAAAATAAAAAAAATGAAAGCATAAATGAAGAAATGTTGACCAACCTCTGTTGTGAAAATGCATTTTAATCACAAAGACTTTAAAAATTTTTTTAATATTTACAATCAATATTCTGAAATCTCCCGAAGACCCCTAGGTAAGATAAACATAAGTACTCATTATGAGTGGAAAAGCATACAAAAACAATATCTCAAATAAAATTCCTCCGAAGTTCCTGAATTTTCTTGATTTTTTTCTATTACATATCACTAATTATATTTATTTGTAAATTTAAGGAGGAAAAAAATCTAATATGCAGACCAAAACTGAGAAAAGAGCCACCGACAAAGTTTACAGAGAGCAGTGCCTGTAGTTCACACAAGAGCCAATAGAAAGGGAGGGACATTTCATAATCCACAGGACACCAGTTAGATTTACTAATAACTGTCTTACCTTATAAGTGGAAAAAATAAAATAAAATAAATGATACTTTGGCCCCACTTAACAAATCTTAAAATAAGACACACACACACCAAAATTAGACCTTTTCCAAGTAACTTCACCATATTCCAAAACATTGTTCAAAAATATTTTAAGAAATATAAAAATATTCAATAGCCAATGTGGTAAAATTCACAATGTCTGGCATCCAACAACAACAAAAAATCAGGCATGCAAAGAATCAAAAAAATACAATCTATAATGGGGAGAAAAATCAATCAAAACTGATGCAGAAAAATGACATAGATGATAGTAGTGACAGCCAAAGATTTTCAGATGCATTCCATATGCTCAAGAAGCTGAGGCATAGATTAAGCAGTTAATTAGACACAGAGATTGTGTGTGTGTGTGTGTGTGTGTGTGTGTGTGTGTGTATCCAAATCGAACTTCTAGAAATGAAAACCACAATGTGTGACATAAAAAAATACACTAAAAAAACAAAATACACTAGATGGGACTAATGGTAGATAAGGCATTGCAAAAGAAAAGAGTGGTGAAAGTGAAGACAGACATAGCAGCTATCTAAAATGCAACAGACAGAAAAGAGGGAGGAAAGAAGGAATGAAGGAAGGAGGGGAGGAAAAATGGGAGGAAGGAAGGGAAGGAAGGGAGGGAGGNGGAGGGAGGGAAGGAAGTAAAGAAAGGGAAGGAAGGGAGGGAGAGGGGGAGGATCACTGAATTCTAGAAAACCTTCAAGTCTTCAAATAGTCCCTGAAGGAGGAGAGGGCGAGAGAAGAAAAATATTTGAAGAAATAAAGGCTGAGAATTCTCCAAAAATATAAATCCAGAGATTCAAGAAGCTTAACAAAACCCCAAATACAAGAAACAACAAAACTACACACATAACATATCAAAATCAAATTGCTTAAACCCAGGGACAAAGAAAATATTATAAGTAGCGAGAAAAAAGCCACACATACGTACAGAGGAACAAGGTTAGAATGGCAGCAGTTTTCACATATAGAAACATTGCAAACTAAAAAACTTAGAGGAGCAACATCTTTAAAGTATGGAAAGAACCAAAACTTAATATTGAAAAACCTAAAAACACAGATAATCTCATTATATACGGGGGTAAATTCAGAGTGATTTTTTTAGGCCCATTTTGAGATTTTTTATTAAACACCAATATATATTTTTATCTTTCTAAAGAATCCAGAGGCAAGATCCCATATTTACAATATTTTTAACATATTGTAAAAATCATTAGAAAAACATATAAATTCATTTGATACATAGTAAGTCTAGTTATGTTCAAAAATATAAATGAATATTTACATGTGATCAATAAAAAATTTTATAATTCATAATTTATTGAAACATAATCACTCTAAGTTTATAGCCAATTGGAAGGAGTTTTAAATCTCTAAGTAAAAATTTAAAATACATTATAACATTAAAGGTAGATGTCATTACATGAATTCTTTTAATCCCAAATTTTATTTAAAAATCAGTAACCACATTGTCAAAACACTGAGGCCAATTAGTATTAATTACTCTATAAATTTAACTTTTTTGTAGGCCTAGTTTTTTAAAAGGCTGGAATCAACAATCATTTCTTTAAATAAATCCAGCATATCCAGGTTGGAAAACTGATTTACAAAAGGAAATCCACTGATATTTATAGACTATTTCAGAACTCTAGAGTGACTTTCAATGAATGGCCGTTTCCTGCTTTGCGACCTGGGAGGTCAGCTACCTTTCTCTGAAATGAGATAATCACACAGTAAATAAATTATGCTAAGAGAAATATTTTTAAAGATAAACTCCATATATTGAAACAAATAGTTACAGTAGAATACACAGGATTCTCCAATATATATATACCTAAAAGTAACCTAGGTTTTTTTGTCCTTTTGAACCTTAGATTTTGAAGTTCTTTGTGGAAGTCCTACTCAATATTTTCTCCATTTTAAAAATCATAATAGTATAATTTCTCTGCTTTTTATTTTGATTGTACACATAAGAACTGCATCTTTTTAGACCTGTTGTTTTAGTCATTTGACCAAACACTTTGATATCCATATTTTATGTAAGAGTGATAACTTCTGGGCTCCAATTACATTGGTAAAACATTATCTTTGGGAAAGTGTTTTAATTCCTTTGAAAGACTAAAATAAAATAGTTTGCTCAATTAGAGCTGTCAGAGTCTAAGACTCAAGACTTCATGGTGTGTGTTTTTTAATCCTCACCAGAGAATATTTTTTCCATTGCTTTTCACAGAGAATGGAAGGGAGAAAGAAATATTGATGTGAGAGACACATTAAATGGCTGCCTCCCGCATGCACCCCAACCAGGGCGGGGATCTAGCCTGCAACCGAAGTATGTTTCCTTGACAGGAATCAAACCCGAGACCCTTCAGTCTGCAGGCTGATGCTCTAACCATTGAGCAAAACTGCCTAGGGCAATTAGGGATTTTAAGACTAAAAGTTGTAAAATATATAATGCTTGAAGATTCAGTTGATCTCTAGAGACAAAGCAACAATACAAAAAAATTCATTTCAGCCTGGCCAGTGTGGCTCAGCAGTTGAGCATTGGCCTATGATCCAGGAGATCGCAGTTCAATTCCCAGTCAGGGCACATGCCCAGGTTGCGGGCTCGATCCCCAGTAGGGAGCATGCAGGAGGCAGCCGATCGATGACTCTCTCATCATTGATGTTTCTCTCTCCCTCTCCCTTCCTCTCTCTGAAATCAAGACATATTTTTAAAAAAAGAAAACATTTCAGTTTCAAATTGTCTGCCTTTTATTAGAGTACTCCACTTGAAATGATTTTTACTTTATTTTAATCTCTTGCTTTAATGTCAGCTCTTTTTAGATTGAGATTTTGTACAGTGAGCCCAGTTTTTATCCTTACATTTAATTCTAATAACCAGTAATTATAAACGTGTATAGGCTTACCAATGTAATTATTTCATAAACTTTTGTTTTAAGAGTTTTCTTTCATCAAGTTAGAGAGAGAGAACTGTTCCTTTTACCAGCTTTAAAGTAGCCCTCAGGAGAAACTTCCTTGATATCCAGAGCATCTCACAATGTCAGTGGTTTCACTGGGAGGAAACTGATTGGCAGGAAATCTAATCTTTAAAAACAGAGCTTCCAAATATTTACACTGGGATAGCGGGCTTTCCTTGCTGTTTGAGGCGGTGCTGGATATGACCACTACACTGCCACACACAATACCGCTTAGCCCCAATCAAAAATGAGCTCTGTTTCAGCCACTACAATCTCGCATGTCTTATTTTTAACTTTAGTGGGACTACGGTGTTCTTTAATTCTGGGGCCTTCTTCCTGTGGATTTCTACGAGTCTTTCACATATAGCTGCCAAACCATTTCTCCTGGGAAATCTCTTTATCTTCATCTCCATCCTGACAATATTGAACTTTACACCAGCCCTGTGATCCTGGAAAATAACAAAGGTTAAGGAAATTCCCCCACCCTTTTGTGTTCTGGAAATGGCTTACCGCAAAGAACCACCCTTCCCCATTTGACTTAGATAAGATTCAGGGCACTCTCCGTGTTTACTCGTGGCAAGGTCAGACAAAGACTCTCCAAATTCCATTATCTGCTTCATAAATGATTAGCTGAACTGTTTGTGCCACTGACTAATCTTGCTGAAATAACCCGCTACCTTTCCTTTACCAAACTTTAGCAAAGCTTCTCTCCTTCCCCCAGGCTCCTGAACTTTGACCCACCCCCAGTTTAGGACTCAATCCATTCTTCAGAACCTTTCCTAAAAATAGGCTGACCTCAGGGCAAAAAGTGTTTTGTTCAACAGTCCCTAAGGACACCACCTTCAATCATCCCACCTTCCCACATCCTGTTCTTTCTAACCTATTTACTCCTTATAAAAGGAAAGCCCTTTTCTCCCTAGCTTTTGAGATGGTGGGCACATTCTCTCTGTTTCAATTATCCCCTCCCCTTACTGCAGCAATCTTTTCACATAAGGTCTCTCCTTATATCCAAATTTGTTTTTTATTTGACACTCTATTTGGTCAGATTCAGAAAGATTGCAGGCAACTAAGCCCAATCTACTTCACTGAACAAATTTGCACTAATAAATGCTTTCATTTCACCATCAAATGAATTGCAAAAGGGATATCCTAGAAAAGTAATTTAATCTGTGCTCTAAAATTTGTATCTTTACACCTCTAGTATCTAGTTGATATTTATAGCAAATACCTGTTGAATTACAAAGTGAATGGACAAATTAAATTTTCTAAAACAATATACATTACCCTGCCAGTGTGGCTCAGTGGTTGAGCATCAACTCATGAACCAAGAGGTCACAGTCAGATTCCTGGTCAGGGCACATGCCAGGGTTGTGGGCTCGATCCCCAGTAGGGGCTATACAGGAGGCAGCTGATCAATGACATCTCTTTCTCTCATTGATGTTTTTATCTCCTTATCCCTATCCCTTCTTTTCTCTCTAAAAACCAATAAAAACATTTAATTTTTTTTAAAAACAATATACATCGTATGGTAACAAAAACACTTATCTTAGTTGTCCAAAATTACT